AGGTAACAGGAAGAAAGATTCACTGAGAGCCTGGCAGGAGAGTCCACAAACACGGCAGAAGGACCATGAGTCCAGGGGTGGAGTGGAGAATCCCTGGTGGGTCAGATAGCACCTCCCCAGGCACAGGGGGTAGGGAGAAGGGTCTAATCCCCAGTCCTCCACCCTCCACATTTTTGAAATTTTTTTGAGTGTTATTAGATATCGATGCAGTTTAAGACAACACACACTTACTACATGACCACTTCCACGGGTCAGGAATTTGGAAGCAACTTAATTGAGTAGTTATAGTCTAGAGTTTCAGGAGATTTCCCTGAAGATACTGACCAGGCCTGCAATGGTCTGGAAGCCTGACTGGGCTAAAGGTCTTGCTTCTGAGATGGCTCCCTTGGCCATTGGAAAAAGGCCCCGTTTCCTCAACCCCTGGACTCTTTTCATAAAGCCAACTGAATGTCCTTACAACATGGCAGCAGCTTCCCCAGAGCAGGTGATCCCAGAGAGAGCAAGGGGAAAGCTGCAGTGTCTTTTAAATGACCTAGCCTAGAAGACACACTCATTATTTTCACAGTATCCTACTGAACGCACAGGTTGTCTCTATTCATTGTGGGATGGAACTATCTAAGAGGGTGAATCATTAGAGGCATCTTAGAGATCGACTATCCCACTTAGCTACTAAAGTTCATCGACATTTGATCACTAGAGCCTGGGAGGCCGTGCGGGTATGAGCTGAGTACTGTCATATCCCCAGAACCTAAAAAGCCAGTGAACATTTTCTAAGTGAATGAAAAGAAGGATGGGTTGGATGGAAGCATAATACTGATTATGTTTGTAAACCTTTGTTGTTGTTTTCCCACCAAAAGTCACTCATTTCATGTCAATTTTAGGCAGATAGTAAACATTCCTCCATAATCCTACACGCAAACCAAGGAAATGGAGGCTAAAACTATCTGTAAAATGGGGACAAACTCAGCACCTACTTTTAAAAAATATTATGAAAAGCCAATCAAATGATGACTAACAGACATTAGCACAGTACCAGGTATAGAATGGGTAATTAATTAACTTTATGAAGTCCTAAGTACAATTTAGCATGTGTCTATGTCAGACTGAGTTTTCTTTTTTTTTTCCAGCCACTCAGCCTAGTGTTGCTATTGCAACACCGAGGGCAGCATAGGAGGCTGTCTCCTGCCTGCTCACAGAAGAGCTGAGTGGCCTACTTATACAGCCAGAAAGAGGGTGTGGCAAGGGTGTCTGCATCTATCATGGCAGTCCCTGAAGGATTGTGTTTGTACCAAACATGACACAATCCCTGTCACCTGTCATGGCAGTGGCAGTCCCCTATGCAAATGAAGGACAGTTTGCACCAGACACAGGTCTTCTGTTAGACCATCGGGGGAAGGTACCCTCTTTGGCCTGGACAGAAATGACTGCAGGGTCGTCTAGAATTCGATGATGCTCAGATTGTATTTCATGAAGATGGCCATACTTCATTTTATCCAACATGTTCGTTTTATAATGTTACTGTACTTCTCACACAGAGAGATGGGTTTTTTTTTTTTTTTGTAAATCTGGATGGGGGTTTGTGATCTCTCCAATCCATAGAGTTCACAGAAGTGATGCCATGTAACTTCTAAGAGCAGTCCATAAAAAAAGGGGACAGCCTCAGCCATCTTTGTGTTTGCCCTGGGAACCCAGCCACCATTCTAATTTGTTGACTTTGGTTCCAAGACAAGAGGCCGGAGGATGGGTGTGGGTAACAGTTTAAACATGGGTATGGAGTGAGAGGAGCACAAGAAGACAGGAAGTTAGGGTCAGTGTGTGGAAAGTGGGCTGTGACAAGGGCATGAGGAAGGGGTGACTGTGGCTGCTCATGAATTTCACACTATGCTAATATTGAACTTAATACAACAGCCACAGCAGGACAGTATTATTTAATTTACAGTCAACCCCCAGGCTGAGGCCTGGAGAAGTTGAGTTACTTCCTCAAGAACCAGACCAAAATTCAAGCCCAGGCCTTTCTGATCAGTCCCCAGACTGCCTGACTCCTGTGCCTCCAGCTTAGCAGAGACCCTGCACTGGGTTTTTTTCCAGAAGAGGTAATGCATAGGAAACTAGCTCAGTGTAAACCACATGAAGTTTCCTCCTGGAAGGACCTGGATGCAGCTGCTGAAGACCAGGCCAGTGCTCTCTGATGTGTTTGGAGACTAGGGTTGGAACTTCACTGTGAAACATCTGCAGTCCTCATGCTGAGATGACAGTTCTCACTGAACTTAAAAATAAGCCAACAAGCTGGATGCCTGTGGCTCACGCCTGTAATCCTAGATACTCCAGAGGCAGAGATCCAAAGGATCGAGGTTCAAAGCCAGACCAAATAGTTCATGAGACCCTGTCTTAAAAATACCCAACACAAAACAGGGCTGGTGGAGTAGCTTAAGTGGTAGAAAGACTGCCTAGCAGAACTTGAGTTCAAAACCCCAGTACCATTAAAAAAAAAAAAAAAGACAAAAAACAACATTGAGGCCAAAGACCAAGACCTCACACTGTAAAGGTCTCAGCTTCTTCCCACCTGGTCTCACCAGGACTCCAGCAGATGAACCCACTCTTATCAAGGTAGTCTAGATTGCTGCTGACCCATGGCAGATGAGCCTCTGGGGCTGTCCACAGAAAGCTGTCAAGAGAGCTGCAGAATGCAGCCACCCTGTGATTGAGAAAGGCCTTGTTACCAGGGACTTAAAAGCCAAGGCTCCTTTGGCCTTTTGCTGCTGGAGACCTGGGCTAATTAGGAGGTCTCTTCATTGCTCCCACAAGCTGACCATAGTCCAGAATCTCCAAGACTGTGAGACTGAGGCAGGGAAATGAGACACAGGAAACAGAGCCAGGGACTGAGAAATTAACATTGTATTAATGAATAGCTTAATTAAAAGTACACAGGCATTACTTTCTTTGCTTTAAGCTTCATACTCCCTCATTAAACTGCAACACAGTTTTTTTTTTTTTAAAAAGGCAGCTCTCTTCTCTGACCTTTCCCAAATAATTACCACACTCTGGGAACTGAGCAAGAATATCCTAAAGAAAGATAGGTAAAATGTTCGGTAAAAGGACACTTTTGAGCACAGAACTGCTTACAGAGAAGGAAAAAAAATTATCCTAAGGTAAAACACCTATCCTAAAGGGAGCATCTGACAGGGCCCACCCTTTGTTTAAAGGGATACTCAGACAACTAATGTCATGATTTAATAAACCCAAATTTAATCAACAGTCCAGCTTTGATTATCTCTGGGCCCATTTGATAAAACAGTGTAACAGGCAAGAATGATTAATGTACCAGGAGTCCAGAACAAAGTGGAGCACTCATCCTAAGGTAAATTTGAGCCAAATGCCCAACACAGTTTTTCACTATAAATAACCCTGATGTTAGAGCACCCATTTCTGGATTGGGTACTATCCTTTCTTTGCTTTGTGTTACTAATAAACTTTCTTAGTCTCTACCTCCACGTGTCCTAAAACTTTTTATTTTTTATTTTTTTGTGACATCACAAACCTGGCACCAGAGAGCCAGGTAGAGGTCTCTTCTCTTTTGAAAACCTCCTTTCTGGATCCTTACTGATTCTAGTAAGCAGACCATATATCTTAAGTCTTGTGCTCCTCTGAGCCCATTCTCTACAGCTATAAAATGTCCATATCACAGTTGCCTATTGACAGGGATCATATGGAACTACAGCACCAAAGGTATTGGCAAAGCCCTATAGTGGAATGTGCTGCTATGGAGTCCTTTCTTCTGACCTCTGCTCACACAGTTGCCAAATGCCCTCAGAGGTCTGCTATACTACAGTGCTCACGTGAAAGAATAAGATGGAGCACTTGTTGATATATACAAAGTATATAAAATCTGCTGTCATAGAATATGAAGGTAATGTAGGCTAGTAACAAATAAATCAATTAAAAAAAATAGCAAATCTACATCATTGAGGTTTAATGTGAATTAAGTGAAACACTACCAAACACTGGGCCTTTGGTGTACACACACATATACTGTGTGGATACGGCGTGTTTCCACTTCTTTATTTTTTTTTCCGGTACTGGGACTTGAACTGAGAGCCTACACCTTGAGTTACTCCACCAGCCGTGTGTGTGTGTGTGTGTGTGTGTGTGTGTGTGTGTGTTGGGTATTTTGAGATAGGGTGTGTGTGTGTGTGTGTGTGTTGGGTATTTTGAGATAGGGTGTGTGTGTGTGTATGTATGTGTGTTGGGTATTTTGAGATAGGGTGTGTGTGTGTGTGTGTGTGTGTGTGTGTGTGTGTGTGTGTTGGGTATTTTGAGATAGGGTCTCGCCAACTTTTTCCCCCGGGCTTGGCTTTGAATCACGATCCTCCTCATCTCTGCCTCCTGAGTAGCTAGGATTACAGGCGTGAGCCACCGGCGCCCGGCTCCACTTCTACAAGGTAACAGCACAGGCATATTCACAGAAAAGCAACTTAGCATGTACTCTGCACTGTTAGCAAATGGCTGCTTTGGTGTGTGCAACTGGGGATGGGGTCCTACCTTTTTCTACGGTGCACACTGCTGCAAAGTTTGATCCTTAAACAAAAAACCCAGCTATATTTAAAATTTAAAAAGCTGAAATACCTAGGTCAATAAGTGGCACCTAAACAAACTGCAGGCAAGGCCAGCCAAGCCCAGAACCTCGGAGAAAGCGCTTCTGCTGTCCCCCACCCCATCCCCGGCGCGCACACTCTGGGGCAGCGCAGGGCCAGAGGCCGCAGTCCTCGAAGCGCCCCGGCGCCCCCACGTCGCCCTCCTCGGCTCGAGAGCAGGCCGGGCGCCCGCTCCCACCGGCCAGGGTTTCTCTCGGCCTCTCCGGGGCCTGCGAGCTCCGGGCGGAGAGCAGACCGAGGCCCGCGCGGGGCAGGGGCGGGCGGGCGGGGGGCGGTGGCCCGCTGAGTCAGCCGGCGGGCGGCGCGCGCACCGCGTGACCCGCAGCCACGTGACCCGCGCGGGGCCCGGCCGCCGGCGCCTTCGTTGCTGCAGCCCCGGGGAGCATCGCGTAAGTGGGAAGGGAGCGGGAGGGGGTCGCGGTCGTTGGCCCAGTGTCCCGGCGCCCAGCCGCTCTCATCCCACCCGGGCGGGCCAGTGGTGAGGGGGCGGCCGCTGGACCCTACCGACGGCCGCGCGCGCCACCTCCTCAGGCCTGCCCATTCACATCGACCGTAGTGCTCTGGAGCCGAACGCCCTCTTTGCGGAGCGATCACCTTGACCCCGTGGTTCTTTTGGGGAAACTGAGGACCCAGCAGGGTTCATCTAGCAGGGCAGCCGGTGAGAGCACCCCTTCCCTGAAAGAAGGCACATCGTCCCAGGCAGAGCCATCGCCACCACCTGCTGCAGTGGCCCCAGGCGAGCCCAAGGCCCCTCTCCTACTGAGGGGTAGAGGTGGTAGGAGTGTGGGGAGGAAGCTGTGCTGAGCTGTAAGCCAACAGACTGAACACTGTTGGTTTTCGTAAGGCTAGGGAGGGGCGTGCCTCCTGAGGTCCTCGCGTTTGTAAATGGGGGCGCTGAGATTAGAACCCAGGTCTGTACCGCAGTAGCGCCTCCTGGTGGGTGGTGGGGCGCCCGGCTCAGTCCTTAGTTCCTCCGGAACCAAAAGTCTGTGCCTTTTTCTTGCTTAATTTGGGAAGGAGGTTGTTGCTAGGCTACAAAAGCATCCTCCATGGCCCCAGCCTTCTCCATCCGTTTTCCTGTTGGTTCTTTTCGTCATTTCCCTCTGCAGGACAAGATGAAGCTCATCATCCTGGAGGACTACTCACAGGCCAGTGAGTGGGCGGCCAAATACATCAGGAACCGCATCATCCAGTTTAACCCTGGGCCAGACAAGTACTTCACCCTGGGGCTCCCCACTGGTGCGTTGTGGGTTGGGGGATGCTGGGGATCCGGGTGGAGAGAGTGGGCATCAGAGACTTAAGGGCCAGGCTGGTGGGCTCACTCAGTCTAGGGTCTTAAAGGGCCTGAGGTACAGGTGCTATGAGAGAACACCAGGCCCCCTCCACGTACAGAACAGAGGATCCAGCTTGCTTTAGGGGTTGGCTTAGTTGCTGCCTGTTCTGGTAGAATCCTGGAACAAAACGGATCTTAGGCAGAAAGAACTGACTTTTAGGCTATATCCTAAATTAGTCTGTCATCCAGGGTTCCTTAGCAGAATGGAGGCCTAATGCCTAAGACACTCATTTTATTAAATGAATTAATTTCTCTTCTGTGCATTTAAGGGATACTAGTTAAGTGCCATTTTTGGGAGAACTGAGAAGGTATTCACGCAAATAGTTTTTCATAAGGCTTAATTTAAGCACAAAACTTAAGTGAAAAACAGGCCCAGTTTCTTCTGAAAAAGGTCAAGACTTTTTTTTTACAGGAAGGTATTTTGGCTGCAGCCCTTCAAGGAAGGTGTCCTGCATGTTTCTTTCACAGATGAGTGATTTGCCCTATTGATGTTACCTGACCAAAAAAGGGTATAAATCCTACCTTCCAAAGGTAGGATTATAAGGGGGACAATAAAAGTTGATTAGCAAAGTATCGAGTGTGTTAGCTAGCAATAAGAGGGAAGGAGAAAAATGAAGCAGAAAAGAAAGGTAGTGTTTAGATGGGAGGTTCTGTGATGGATATGATAGTGGCAGGGAAGGTCTCTGAGAAAGTGACACTTGAGCAAAGGCCAGAAGAGGTGAGTTAGCCATGCAGATAACCCAATGAAAAGCATTGCTGGCAGGAAGAACAGCGAGTGCAAAAGCCCTTAAGAGATAGAGCCTAGTGCAGGTTGAAGAGCACAGAGAGGGAGCCAGGGGCCTAGTTATGTGGAGCTGCTCTAAGTACTGGTTTTTATGAGAGTGAAATGAGAAGCTGTTGGAGGGTTTTGAAAACAGGAGTGACATGGTCTGATCTGGATGGGTTTTTGTGTTTTCCTTTGATCTTTTTATTTTGAAAAAATTTAAATAATCAGAAAAGTTTAACAGTGTAGTACCATTCACCTAGATTTACTAATTGCTATCCTCTTTTGTTTGCTTTTGTTTTCTCTGACATATGGTCTCTATCTGCACGCACATAATTCTTTTTTTCTGAACCACTTCAGTCAGTTCCAGACAGTTTGTCATTTTACCTCTGAATCTTTCAGTCCTTACTCCTGAGAATGTGGGTGTTCTCTTCCATAACCCCATAATCATTACAGACCTAAGAATAACTATCATTCTACAATATAGCTAATATATATGCTGTGTTCAAAAATTTTTCCTAGCCACATTTACCTCTTATGGATGGGTTTTAAATTAATGCAATGTCCAGTCAGGGTTCTTGTTTATTTACTCATTTTTGCGGTGTTAGATATGGAACCTAGGGCCCTGTGCATGCTTGGCAGGTGCTCTACCACTGAACAACACCCCCACACACACACTCCCATCTTTAGTCTTTTAATATACTGTGATCCTTCTACTTTTTGTGTTCTGTGGTGTTGACTTGCTATGAAATTCTCAGGGATTTGCTTGGGGAAGTCTTCTCTGAACCTTGAAGCATGGGGTGACCCTATTGTAGCTGACACTCCTGCTGTGTCTCCATAGGCAATGGCCTTTTCTAGGGTGGCTGCTGTCTACTTAGCCCCGTGTTTTGCACATAGTAATATGGCTCAGAATATCATGCCAATAGTTAAGTTTGATGTTCACTCAGGTACCAGTCAGTGGTTTCAGTCATTGGTGTGCTAGGCACTGGGACTTAGCAGTCAGCAAAACAGTTACATCCCTGGTCTTCTGGAGCTTATAGCCAGGGCTGGGGAGATAAAGGGGCGGAGAAGAGGGTGGGTGACAGAAATTGAGCAAGCAGGTAGTGGATGGATGGCAGTGGGATTGGAGCTCTAGGTAGGACTGCAGATCTGGCAGGTTCTTGTGGAGCAGCCCTGACTTGGTCCTTGGCACCTTCTGGCTGAAGGGGCTTTCATGGCTGTGGTAATGTTCATGGGATGAGGCCTCTCTTGCAGGGAGCACCCCTCTTGGCTGCTATAAGAAGCTGATTGAGTACTATAAGAATGGGGATCTGTCCTTTAAATATGTGAAGACCTTCAACATGGACGAGTACGTGGGTGAGTCTCTTTCAGATTCCTACTTGATTGCAGGAGCATCATGCTCCTCCTGTCACTGGCCCAGCCCTGGAGAGGAATGAGGATATCACAGAGAGCCAGTGAAATTTGATGATAGGCTCAGTTATCAGTACCTCTCTTCTAGCCTTGGTTTATGCAGGTTTAGTTCTTGCATCTTTACTTTGGTTCTTGCACCATTAGTTCTTTTCATGCAGCTATAAGATGGGGCTAATACAGCCAGTTTCATGGATTGCAAGCATTAAGTAACAGATGTGGAAGTTTCTTGAACACAATAAGCATTTAATGGATGTTTAATAAACATTAAGGTATCTCTTACCACTCTGCTTGCCCCCAACTCCTTGCCATTTCCCTCTAGTATACATGCTTGTAAATGGGATTCTGGCTGGGGTGTGCCCCCAGGGTCTGTGTCTGAATTTTCTCTCCAGTGTGCATCCTTCAGTTCCCTTTTCTGCCAGGTACACTTGGAGGAAGGCTGAGACTCATGGCTTTTCCACTGCTGAAAATCTATACCTTCTTCTCTCTATACTGTCCTCTTATCACCTCCTTGTGCTCCCCAATCATTTTGTAATGGCTTCAGTTTAAATATACATTTCTTTTACAAACTGTGGTAAAATACATTTTACAAAATTTACATCCTAAAAGCTGGGTGTGGTTTGTGAACCTGCAGTCCCAGCTACTCAGGAGACTGAGACAGGCGATCAAGGCCTGCCTGGGCAACATAACAAGACCGCACTCAAAACATAAGAAAAAAAAATTACCATCATAAGCACTTTTATGTATATAGTTCATTAGTGTTAGGTACACTCACATTGTACAACCAGCCTCCAGAGCTCTTCATCTTGCAACTGAGACTCTATTCACATCAAACAACTCCTCATTTCCTCCTCTCCCCAGGCCCTGGAAACCACCATTTACTTTCAGTTTCCATGAATTTGACTTGTCTAGGTACCTCATAGAAGTAGAATTATAAAGTATTTGACTTTTTGTGACTGGCTTCTTTCACTTAAGTTCATCCGTGTTTAGCATGTCTCAGAATTTCTTTCATTTTTAAGGATGATTTTAAGTATTCTGAATATTTATTAAAATTCATTTTAAACATTTTTTTTCTAGCTGAAAAAATATCCATTTTGAGAAGCCCTGAGATAATACTCTCCAGCCACCTAGTGTTTAAGCTGGGGTTCAAGTAGAATGGAGTAATAACTGGGGGTGAGCAGTGGAATGAGGCCCAGGGTATGGGGGGTGCTTGCTTCCTTTCATAGATGGGCCCAGTTCTACCTCAGGTGGCCAGGCTAACTCCAGAAGCCCAGAGTGTCCCCAGCCTCCAGCCTGTGCTCATATTTGTGAAAAGGAAATCAGAATCAGGGAACTTCCTAGGTTCCCTGTGTATAGCTACTCTAGTCAAGCCCTGTGGTCACAGACACTTAAGGACACCAACTCAGCCTCCTCCACATGGCTGAGGGTTAGAGGGCTGATGCCCTAAGTTCTCTGATGGACAGTCCCCAGTGTCCTGCTGGTCAGCATTATGTCGTCCTTGGGAGGAGGGCTCTGGTTTAGTCTGTGCCTGACTGATTTGGCCCCCAGGCCTTCCTCAAGAGCACCCAGAGAGCTACCACTCTTTCATGTGGAACAACTTCTTCAAGCACATCGACATCCACCCAGAAAACACCCACATTCTGGATGGGAATGCAGCTGACCTGCAGGCTGAGTGTGATTCCTTTGAGAAGAAGATTGAGGCTGCAGGTGGATCGAGCTGTTCGTTGGAGGTGAGCTTGATGCTACTTAGCACATGACCAAGGCCAGGCCCAGGGTGGCTGGAATGCATAGGAAAGACAAGGTCTATCCACATGGTTTCCTCTGCCCATAACACTTGGGTCACCTATCACTGGGTGAGGGGCAGGGAAGGCACAGAGTGGGAACCCTGGGTTCCTGCCGTCTCTGCTGCTCAGGAACTGTGATCTTAGATCTCTCTCCCCTTTCCACAATTTGATGCCTTGTTTGTAAATTAAGAGATTTGGATTTGGACTCTCAGATTCTCTGCTTCTCAGTTTTAAGGCTTTACAGGTCATGTAACTTACCTAAACACTGAAAATCATGGACTCATAATTTCAAAAGGTTCTGTGTAGTCCCTCCGTGCTATCAATAGCCACTTGAACCCCACAGAAGCTATGTGACTTATCAGGTCAGCCAGCTAGGAGCAGTGTGGGGAGGTAGGAACCTGGAGTGGTAAGTTCTCAGATTTAGGCTGCCTCCATGTCTATCTGTTGCTACCCTGGGAGCCACCCATGGAGGTGTAATTGGTCTTTTACTGCTCTAGATACGACTTCTATAAAAGTGGGAAAAAGCTTATACATTCTGAGAGCTTATACACTTGGTAGCCCCTGCCCCGATGCCATGTGTGTTTTATTCACTGCAACTCTATCCCAGCAGCAGGAGTCCACCTCCAGGTAGGAAGGACAAAGATTATACTTCCAACACTCTGGGAAGGCAGAAGATATTTGAAGTGTTCCTTACAGAGCTTTTGGAGAGTGATAGCAAGTTAACAATGTTTGTGTGAGCCCCAGGTAGAAATGGAGGGGAGGGGGCCGATTATGTGCTTGAGGGATACCTACCCTTGAGGTACAAATGAGAAAAGAAATGTAGTTTTCAAGCATTTTTTTTTTCAGAACCCAATTAGGGACGAAGAGATTACCCATTCTTGAAATTTTAAGATGCCTGGGACTCACAGAGATGCCCTGGCTGTCTCTCTGCAGGCATTGGCCCTGATGGACACATTGCCTTCAATGAGCCAGGTTCTAGTCTGGTGTCCAGGACCCGGGTGAAGACACTGGCCATGGACACCATCCTGGCCAATGCTAGGTTCTTCGATGGTGATCTTGCCAAGGTGCCCACCATGGCCCTGACAGTGGGGGTGGGCACTGTCATGGATGCTAGAGAGGTAAGGGTGCAAGGGGTCTACCAGTCTTCATTGGAGTTGGGGGCCGGGGAAAGGTCTTTTGTTGCTAATTTTAGTTACATAGGTACTGCCTAAATACATTCTTATTAAAGATGAAGATGTTATAAATAAGGTTAAAACTATAGCTGGTTCTAATTCTGCTCCTCTTCCTTATTTGGAGATAACTTTTTCCCAGGGTGAGGCGACTCCTTTGAGCATTTTTCAGTTGGCCTTTGACCAACTGACCAGAGACTATAGCCTCTGCTTGTGTGCCCCTTTTTTTTGCTTTTCATACAGAGAGGAGCCCAGCAAAACTAACATGACAATATGAATTTGTACCTACCCAGGTGCTAAGAGGGACCTTTTGGGTCCCTGTGGTTAAACGGTTACTATTTGAAGGGCTGTTCCTCCTGCAAGAATGCTGTGGGTACAGCTGTGTGCCCAGAGATGAAGTGTGGTTAATGATGACTTAACATGAATTCAGGGAATTTTTTTTTCTCTTAGAAAAATTGGATATCATCTGATTTGATTTTTTTTTTTTTTTGTAGTTACAATGGTCCTTGCTTTCATTTGATTTTTTTTTTTTTTTTTGTACTGGAGTTTGAACTCAGGGCCTCACACTTGCTAGGCAGGCACTTTACCACTTAAGCCACTCCATCAGCCCTTTTGCTTTAGTTAATTTTCAGATAGGGACTTGTCTTGTGCTTTTTGCCTGAGCTGGCCTTGAACCTTGATCTTCCTGTTCTTCACCTCCCAAGTAGCTACAAGGCATGAGTCACAGAATGCAGCCATTTTACCTTCAAATTTCTTTGCCCAAGTCTGTAAGCATCTAAATCAGTAGAAAAGGTTTCTGTTGATAAAGTGAATGCTTATGAAATGAGCAGTGACACCTAGACTCTCATTGGGTAACCATGAATCTTATTGGGGGTCACTGTTTACTTGTAAATAGGATTTGGGGGCCTCCTTTTCTGAGGAGCGCTGGAAATAAGGAAATTCTCTTTCCTAAAACAAGCTGTGTCATGTTTTCTCTATGCCCCTGTGTTTCTAAGAAAGGACAGTAAATCCTGTTTGCCACTCCATGGCAAAAGTGAATTAAAATGAAAGGAAATTTATAGAGCTGAGTTCTTTCGGATCACTTTCTAGTAGTGGTGTTCTTAATACTTTCTTAAGTGGAATCTGCCTTTATTTTGCACTAACAAAAAAAAAATGTCACAGCAAGTCAGTATTAGCATGTTAAATGCTCTGAACTGAAAAGGACCAGATTAAGGGGTAGCCTTTCTGAGATTCAACATTTGAGGCCCCACAGATAACTGCCACCATTATTTCTGAAGCCCATGTGTAGCAGCTGCAGGCTGGGGCCCCCTCTCGCAGACTGAAAACTCACCTAGCTGTTGGGAGAAGAGGTGTGGACCTTTGCGTGGCACATTTGCTCACAGGGAACCTTCACGTCATCATTGAACTTTCCTGAGGCACTGTCGTGAGCACGGACTTTGGGGTCCCAAATGACCTTGGGCAGGTTACTTAACTCCTTCTGGAGCCCCATTTCCTTATCCTAAATCATGGGGATAACCGTGCCATCAGGTTGTGTGATAAAGGACATGGAACACTGAGCACAGAATGTTGCATGGTAACTACTTACAATGTAATATTAAAACATCCTTACCAGTTTGGTGTGGGTGGACTAGAATTCGATGTCTGGACTTCTTTATCACCGGCTTGTTTTCTGATCCCCAGGTGATGATCCTCATCACAGGTGCTCACAAGGCATTTGCTCTGTACAAGGCCATCGAAGAGGGAGTGAACCATATGTGGACCGTGTCTGCCTTCCAGCAGCATCCCCGCTCTGTGTTTGTGTGCGATGAGGATGCCACCTTGGAGCTGAAAGTGAAAACTGTCAAGTATTTCAAAGGTGAGAGGGGGCCGGTATGGGAGTAGATGGTCAAGTTCAGTTGTGTTGGGAGTGAGGAGTGGATCTTTCATTCTGGCCATTTTGAGACAGGGTCTCACTACGTAATAACAGTCAAGTCCTACTGTTTCACAATAGTCATTTCTCTTCCATCCATGACTGCAAGGGTCCATTTCTGGAGATCTGTTTGCTCTGAGGAGACAACAAGGAAATGCAAAATTGTAGTCCAAAGGGCTATGCAGTAATCTCTTGCAGTTACGTTGAGTCTCAGGTTTTCTGTGTTCAGAGTTGATACAGGCCTTTCCCCTCGAGTCACTGAATTATCATGGGGATCTTTTTTTCTTTTACTTTAAAAAGGTCCTGTTAGGGGGTTGGGGACCATAGTTCTGCTAGAGCAGTTGACTAGTATGTGTGAAGCCCTGGATTCAATTTCCAGCACAGAAAAAGCAAAGACCTACTGCTTTAATCAGAATTAGGTGAAATTTCTCATTTACTAAATAGGTAAATTAGGGATTTCTTTGCTTAAAAGATTAACCTTTAAAATAGTCAGCTCCCAGTGGGTGCACTGACTTAATTTCTATGAACTCTAGCACACAGTGGGAATAAAAAATTTTTTAACTGCTCTAAGAGTGTTTGTCATTTGGAGATTAAAGAAAAGAGATATGTCATTTCTAGGACAAAAACTGGAGCTTCTACATATTATTATTATATATATATATTTTTTGGAAGTACTGGGGTTTGAACTCAGGGCATTGCACTTGAGTCATGCCCCCAGCCCTTGGGTGTTACTTTTCGTTGTTATTGTTTTGGATGTTACTTTTGATAATCATAGAACTCGTTTCTATCTCCATTAATTACTTCTTAATTTTTTATAGGTTTAATGCTCGTTCATAATAAGTTGGTGGACCCCCTGTACAGTATCAAGGAGAAAGAAACTGAGAAAAGCCAGCCTTCTAAGAAACTGTACAGCGATTAGCTTGCACTGGGACCTAGTATCAAGTACCTCACAGGGACAGGCAGGTCTTTTTGGAAATTGTCTTTAGAATGGAATGCTTTTCTTTAATTAAGTATGGTTACTGCAGATAAGGGCGGGACCGTACTGTTCTTGGATGTGAGGCTAGGAGCCTGGTCAGGGAGTTAAGCTATATGGAGAATGACTTGTCTGTAACTTTATTAGAAAAAAAAATCTCTGAAAAATATACTCCATCATTTTGCCGTCTACCACACTCAAGTTAAGGCCTTTTAGCTTCTCTTCTGCCTCAGCGACTGTTCACGTGTACAACACTTTCCCATCAGGAATTTCTGTTCTTGTGTGCACTTATCTCAAATCGGTAGAAATTTCAGGCTTGTTCACAACCTCTCTGAGCTCCTCTTGAGCAGGCCTGCTGCCCCTTAGAGAATCGTTGTTCCAAATTAAGGAACAAACTCTTTACATATCTAAATAATGTACAAGAGAGAGTCCCTCTGGTCGGCACCAAGTACCTGGGAAAGAAAACTGTCTCTTACTCTCTTTCGTTTTTTTTCTTTCCCTGCTCTCACAGCTTTCCATGAACTGGATTCCTTGAGGAGAACTTGTGTGGGTGGGACTAAAAAGGTGGCTTTTGCTGATAAATCCACAGCCTCCAGGGGCCCAGCCAACAAAGATCCAAGGGGAGAAAGGTGGAAACCCTTTTTCCACCAGAGCCTTGTGTTTTTGTCAGAGGTCTCTTACTTAGTCATCAGTAAGGAAGAGGTCTACTGGGGGAACAGACATGGCCACAATTTCAGTACTGTTTTTAGCCTGGGTGATGGAGTGGTAAACATTCTCCACACACAAGTGCTATGCTCTCCTGCCTTCTTCAGAGTTGAATGCCAAGACCACACACTAGATGCTTCTAGTATTTTCCCCACTTAAAATCCTGTTCATCAGCCCTCTCAGGTTCATGTGTGTAGTCTGATGTTCTCAGGATGTCAAGATATACAACCCTGTGCTCCTTTATCCTTTAGCCCTTGTTCCTGAGATGGTCTGTTGGTCTACCCTCTTTTTCTTCTCTTAAGCCTTTATGGAGTGGTTGCTGCAGCTTCCTCCCTGTTTTGTGCCTGTTTGAAGCTATTGCTGCCTATTTCTAGGAAAGAGTTTTCAGAACCTGGCTCAGGCCTCTATTTTAGTGCTGTGTTTGGTATCAGCATTTCATCTTTAGCTTTTATACGTGATTGTGCTGTCATTCTGTGTTAAGCTAATGGATCAATGGACTTGTTTACAATGTGATATTTTCTATTAAATCTAATATTTTCAAATAAAATGTGTCATTTTTGGATTCCCACCCCCAAAGTTCAGAAGGTATCTTCTGAAAACATGTATTTTGGAAATAGCCAGTGAGCAAAGCTTCACACTCCATCCTCACAAGAGCTTTCAGGAAGGTCACAAGCATAGCAACCGTCAGTTGATCTTCTTCAATCATCAGGGTGAAAAAAAGATTTTATAAAAATGAAGCACCTATGTGGAAAAAGGTAGGAATGAACAGATGAACAATAAATTGCGATGTTCTGGCTGTACTTGAGATCTAAAGAGGGATGTAGCTGTTAACAAAGAATAAGGCAGGGGCTAGGGATGTTCTCTACTGAGTACTTATCTAGTATCCAAAAGGCCCTGAAATCTAGCCCCATCACCACAATAATAATAATAATAGCAATAGTAGTAGTAATAACTGCAAGGTTCTACTTTTGCAATTAGAGTCAATGTAATAGAGTATCTTGCATCAATGTAGCCAGTTAAGGTATATGTAAAAAGATGGAAGAATTTAAATTTTAATGAGATACAGTTTATATGCCAATACCAATGATTTGTAAGTTTATGGAGTTGCTCAACTGCTTGTCACAATCCATTTCTATCATTTTAAAAAGCTGACGTTTACCCTTAGGCCCAGGTGACCGCTGATTTGCTTTTTATATAGATTTACGAGAGAGGAGAGAGAGAGAGTGTGTTAGGAGGGCCTTGCACATGCTGTACCACTGAATTGCACCCCCAGTCTCTACTGGATATTTCATATAAAGGGAATTATGTGACATCTGGTGTCTGGCCTAACATCTTTAAGGACTATGTAGCATAATCCATTCCTTTTATTGCTTCATGTTCCATTGTATTGATTACATTTTGTTTACACAAAGGGTTTAAATTTTAAGAAGCTGTATTATGAAAAAAAGAACTTAGAATGAAATAAAAAAAAGGACTTAGTGATTACAGCTAAATTTAGTGATTACAGCTGAAGATATCTGGATGGACTTGGGACCTTGAAAAGATCTGATTTCTCAGGTCTGTTTCCCTGGTGGCCCAACAGCAGTGTCATTTGCTATAACCTATGCTTATGTGATCCAGATGGGGCCTCTAATACTAATCAGGACAGTATGCTCCTCTTAGAGAGGAGCTAATTATGTATTTTGGGATAGGGATCATGGTTGGACCTGAAATACCTTGTTGGTAGAAAATAAGGGTTCTTTCAAAGATGTCTGATGCAGTGTTGAGAGGACAAAGCAGTCAGTTAAGCAGGGTTCCCCCCTGGCAAGGCTGTGACAATTTGGTAAAAAAAGGAAATGTTAAATACAGTTGACAGTAACAATCTGTAAAACAGTAAATCTGATAGAAAGGAGAAAGGTAATATTAAGTGTACAGAACTGTATTCACTACACTTAGTAAAAAGTGGAGGTGTTGACATAAATGGGTATCACCTTTTTTCTATTGAGTACATCTGCTCATAAAGTAGGAATGGATACAAAAGCCTGTCCACTGTCTCTAAGGTTTACTCTTTCTTCCTTTAGGTCTCTACTCAAACAGCTTTCACCAGAAATTTCCCTGGCCCTCCAGTGTAAACGAGCAACCTCGATTCCCTATCCTCCCTGCCCTGCTCTATTTTCTCAGAGCCATTTACAGTCTGATAGGTATTTTGTTGCCAAATAAATGTTACCTCCATGAAGGCAGTTTGTTAAATGCTACTCTATCTCACCCCATAACAGTGTCCAGGAAGGTACTGCTATTTGTTGAATGATAAACCTGATAATTCTCCCCAACAGTAGTGATCATACACAATAACCATGGGAAAATAATAGCATATTACATGATGATGGATTAGACAGTTGGCATACTGAAGAGATCTAACTTTGCAAAATTGATGCCTTTTTCCCAGGAACCAAAGTCTTTGCTGTGATGAGGTGCTAGTGAAGCATGTGTGGCAGGTCTCTGAGTTATGCAACAGGCAACCAAAACAGAAGAGAACATAGTAATTTGGACCTCAAAGAAGCCCTGACACCATCTTGCAATCATACAAAATCAGTAATCACACCTAGTCCATTTAGTCTCAAAGACCAATTCATAAGGTCTCAAGCCACTAGTGCCTCTATCTCAGCTTTTTTCTTGGCTGATGACCTTGAATTTGGAAGCAATCAGAAAAGAATGCCCATGGGCTAGGCATGTAGCTTGGTGGTACAGTGCTTGAGTAGGCATGCACAAAACCCTGGGTTCAATCCCCAGCACCTTCAAAAACAAAAAATGTCCGCATGGTCCAGCCATCACATAATCCCATGCCAGTCCTGCTGTCACCCTGCCACCTTGTCATCTGCCCCTTGCCTGAACCATCTACTTGCACACCAGGCCCCATCTCTCTTGCCTCCTTGAGGACACTGCCCCAGACTCTCACTTTGAGCATCAAATTGTCCTGTCCTTAGATCACTCCTATCAGCATGCAAAATGAGAGTTCAAAACTTTACTCCATTTGCCTCCCCTATTTATAACCTTTTTCTTGACTCCTTATGGCAAAACTTCTAGTTACCTGTACTCTGACCCTAATCTCTCTCCTTCTATTCTTTGTTCTTCTGGTATTCCATTATACATTGTTCTACCTTTTGTAGTTGCTCCACAGGTCTTGGATTTTTTTTTTCCATTCCTTTTTCGAAATCTTAAATTTAAATTTGGGAAGTTTCAAGCCCACTGATTCCATCTCAGCTATGTCATCTATTGATGAGCCCATTAGAGGTATTCGTCTGTTACAATGTTTAATTCTAGAATTTATGTTTTATTCTTTTTTGGTTTCCATCTCTTGCTTACATTACCAGACTATTCTTGCATATTGTTCTTTTTTCATTTTTGCACATTAATTATACTTATTTAATTTCTCAGTCCAGTAACTCCAAAATGTGGGCCAATCTGAGTCTGGTTCTGATGCTTGCTTTGTCTGAACTACTCTCCTTTGTGGCATGTCCCATCACTTTTTAAATATGGAAAACCAGACATGATGTATTAGGCAATAGGAACTGAGGTAAAACAGGCCTTAGTGTGAGGCTGTATGTTTATCTGACTAAATTTAGGCTATGTTTAATGTTTGCTGTGGCTGTAGGTGTCAGGGGCTTCAATTTCCCTGGGTTTGCTTGTTTGGGTCTCTCCTGTTGTCTTTGGGTTTCCCTAGAAACTCCTTAAAACAGAGCCTGTCTTGCAGCTCCCTCAGGGGTAATCCAGTTATTCAGGAGCCCTATTGATATGGTAGGTATTGGGAGAAGCAGCGTTCTGGAATCTCATGATTATTTTTCCCCCAGAGAGTGAGAATCCTTTGGGCTGGGACCTTCAGAAGGATTTCTTAGCTTTTTTCCCTTTCCTCCTCTTATGTAAGATAGGAAGGTCAAGAGAGGCCTTTAGTCATCCAATCCTATACAACAGAGAAGGATCTAGCAAAGTAGTTTTCTGTGAGGGCAGACCTTTGTGCCTCCAGAACAGAACATCTAGGGCTACTTCTACTCCGAATGTGTTTCAAAATGGTTTTCTCCTTCCCCTGCCTAGAGCACAAAAGGATTTTCCTGCCATTGTGGGGATCCTGGAGGTAAAACCTAAGAAAGTGTGAAGAGCCCCTTAAGAGTAGCTCCCACTTTTTAATTCTCAAACTGATTTACACTCAGTCCCTATTAATTGGTTTAAATTCCAATTCCTGGCTCCAGAAGCATCTGCCTTAGGTTAGCTGATGTGTATTTCCCTATCTTTTTAGTTTTTATGGTTGTTAACTCATGACCTCAACTCTCTAATGGATCTAAGAAAATTGTTGATGTTTAGTTTGTTCAGCTCTTCCCCCCATTATGAGGATAACTCATTCTTTCTCAAACACACTCTAGATTTTCACCTCCCCTCCACTCATAGACAGCAGTTGTCAAAGCCTCCAGTAACCTTCACGTGATTGCTTAGGTGGATTGTTAGAACTCATATTATTGACCCCCATGTGCAGCACCTTATACAGCTGATTACTCTTTATTCCACCTGACTTGGGATTTCTTATCTTACTGGCCACTCCCCGTCTCCTTGGCCTCAGCATTTGAAGTGACCCAACACTCAGCCCTTGAACCTTAGCTATATTTTTTTTACAGAAAAATGAAATTACTCCCTTGGTAATCTTGTCTAATTTCATGGCTTCTAGGACAATTTAGACATTGTCTCCCATATTTATATCTTTAGTCTAAATTGCTAACTGCCTATTTACCATCTCCCATTGGGATCTCAAACTTATTTGTCCACAACTAAATTCCTCATCTTTACCCACAAACCTGTACTGTCTGCAGTTTTTTCCACCACAGCTGCTCTGGTAAAAACACCTAGAAATATACCCAATGCCTCACTTTCTCTTCTTACACGACCAACCTATCAGCAAATTCTATTAGTTTTACCCATGGCCTACAGGCATGGCTTAAGTGGTAGAATGCCTGCCTAGCAAGTGCTAGGCCCTGAGTTTTAACCCCAGTTCGCCAAAAACAAAAATGGCACCTATTAGTTTTACCTTGAGGTAAGTAGAGTCTAACCAATCTTGGACTAGGGATGTAGCTCAGTGGTAGAATGCTTGCAAGCATGTGCAAGGTCCTGGCTTCATCCCTAGCACCACAAAAGAACCAATTCTAAAGATTCCAACCGCTGGCACGCTGCTCTCATCTGAGTTATTACAAATAGCCTAACTAGTCTGTTTCTACTCTTACTAACCCTAAAAAGAATGAGATTACCAAGGAAGCAAGCTCTCCCCACCTCAGAGAAGCCAGTTTACACAAGGCCCTGCACAGTCCTACCCGCTCATGCTCCATCTCTTACTATTCTCCCTTGCTTGGGCTACTTCAGCCCTTATAGGCTACCATGCTATCCTAGAGCCCTCTGATATGCTTCTAGCCCAAGGGTCTTTGCCTAGGCTGTCCCTGTCTGTAATTCTTTCCTCTCAGGTTCACTCCCACACCACCAAGCCTTTAGTTAAATGTTATCACAGTGAAGTTCTTCCCCACTCTTTCAAACTCGAACACTGCTCTGCTTTCCCAATTCCCTAACCCTTTCCCTGACTTTTCTGCATGATGACTCATATAGTTTGCTTAGAGTCTATCTCTTTCCATCAGGGTTTAAGTTTCAGAAAGGCAGGAAGATTTTTGTCTGTTTTATTCACTGCTACATTCTCAGCACCCATTGCTAGGTACTCAATAAATGTTAAATTACTGAATTATTCCAGGAAATGGGATAAATTTCAGAAAGTGGGATGGGATTGAAAGTAAGATAATTATTTTAAAAACTGCTATGGAATTGTGTTGAACTAGCGTAAGTTTAGTTTGGAAAGGTGGGGGGAAGGGGGAAGAGACCCAAACAAGAAACAGTAACTGTTCCAACTCTGTATTTAGTAAGGCTCTGATGCCAAAGCTGCTGAGTTTTCAATGTACATAATCTTCTCCAAAGCATCCTCTGGCTCAGAGAACTATAGGAATCCTTGAAGTAGTAAACCTTCAGCCTACCTGAGTAACGGTACAAAGTCTAAATTGAAAGTTGGGAATTACCATAAACACTTGGTAAGAACATCCCTAAAGTTCCTATCACCAGCTTTCTGATCAAACACCTCCTGCCTGGTCTGCTACCTGATATTTATTAAGCTAAAGTTTAAGAAGCAGACTGTTTGGCTACTTTTACCAGTATCCATGGGTACCTCAGTGTTATAATCCCTTGATCCTACTTAGGTAGGTACTTCATATATAACTCAATTGCCTTACATCAGTGGTTCAAGATAAGTGCAACTATCACGTGTGACATTTTGCTATGTAGCAATTGCGTAAGATGTCAACTATGGGACTTAAAAATTTTTGGTAATACTGCTGTTCCTGCCTTGCTAGTACCATCACATTCTGCCTACCAAGGTATAAAAGACACTAGAATGAAACACAAAGAGGAAAATTAAAATCCCAGGAATTAAATCTGCTTCTGTAACAAAATACTACTTGTGGCTTAGCCAGTTACTATTTTTGTCTGTTTCTTAAGACAGAGTCTTGCTGTGTCACCCAGGCTGGTCTAGAACTCCAGGGCCTAAGACACCCTCCTGTCTAATTCTGCAGAGTCCTGCTATAGACAGATCCTCTTTTATAACATGGGCACTGCTGCCACCTGCTGGTGATGCTTATCAAAGTTTATAGTTCCACTGAAAAATTTGAAATTCCCTTTCAAAGCAGGTAGCTTTATGAATACCTTCATGATTCTTACCTGATTAACTCACTCTCACTACTCTTGACATAAAAATAAATATCAGGTATATTAGTGAATTTTTAATGTAAACTAGAGCCCTCTACTATTACAAAATGAGCTAATGACTGTTACAGGTCTGGGAAGATGACATCTGTGGCTTTTCTGTCTGCCATTTCTTGACAAGAAGAGATTATGCACATTTCAGGATTTAGCTGAGTTGGCAGGCTAATCCTCTCACATCAATGTAGAACTGTGTGGGTCCTGCTAACCCCAAGACAGTCTGATCAAGCTGTCCAGTATTTAACCATTTTTTTCGTGAAGATTAGTAGGAGAATGACCATAACAAGTAAACAGCCTAAAACTATATTGTAGCCAGTGAAATATCCTCAGAAATAACTGATTTATTAAAGCTACAAAAAGACCTCAATTTAAAAAAATTTTCACTGATTTGCTGGGCCTGCTAGGATTAGGTACTTAGTCTTCCACAAAAGTTTTTTGGCTCCTGACCTACCCATAGCATCAAGATACATGAATATTTATATAACACTTACAATAAAAATGGATGGAACAAGGCCCCGGCTTCCATCCCATTCCAGATAGGGACAGTCTGGGCAAAGACCCTTGGGGTAGGAGGAGCATGTTAGAGGGCTCCAGAATAGCATAATGGTCTATAAGGGCTTATGTAGAACAAGGAAGAAGAATTTAAGGAGACTTGATGACAAAATGCAATAATGGGGTATTCTGGGTAGAATCCAGAAAAAGGACACAAGGAAAAACTAAGGAAATCTGAATAAAGTATGGACTATGGCTAAAACAATGTTGATTCATTAATGGGATAAATGCACGATATAATAAAGGGTATTAATAGTGAGAAAGTTGGGTGTGGGATATACAGGAACTCTGCACTATCTCCCAGTTTTTCTATAAACCTAAAACTAGTCTAAAATTAAATGTTTTTTTTTAAAAATGGATGAGCTAAGAAAGAAAAACACTCATTGCATAAACAAATCTCTGTGACTAAAGAGTTGTGTTGAATTTTAAATCATAAATGATGGGACTGGCAGAGTGGTTCAAGTGGCAGACACCTGCCTAGTAAGTGCAAGACCCTGAGTTCAGACGCCAGTACCACCCCAAAAAAAAAAAAATAAATGAAAAAACCCCCATTTATTTCATAGAATGGTTTATAAAGGCTCCCTTCCTACTTCTATGACATCATCAGCATAACGAACATAGCTAAAATAAAATGATCTCTAGCAAATATCAACTAGCACATGAACTAGAGTTTCTCAGTGGCTACTTTGGGGAAAAAAAAAAAAATCCCAACCCAACTCCTATTCAAGCACAGACATCACTTTTCTCAGGTATATATTAAATAATCACTTTAATTTCCATTTCTTATTTCAACTTATTCCTTAAATTAACTTCAGCTTTTATATAAAATGTGCTGAGCTGGGCACTACTGGCTCAAGCCTGTAATCCTAGCTACTTGGGAGGCTGAGATCAGGAGAATCTTGGTTTCAGGCCAGCCTGGGCAAATGGTTCATGAGACCTCATCTCCAAAATAACCAGAGCAAAAAGGACCAGAGGTGTGACTTAAACAGTAGAGCACCTGCTTTGTAAGCACAAAGCTTTTGAGTTAAAACCCCTGTCCCAACAAAATAAAATAAAATGTGCTGAATAGAAGCCCATTAACTTAACTTGTTTAAACAAAATATGAGTCCTAAAACCTAGGCTCAGTCACAAGCGCAGGTAAAAGAGAAGATGCTCTTCTGGAACTCTTTTTCTTTTCACTTTAAGAACATGTTATATGACTAGGAGTGTAGCTCAGTGGTAGCATGCTCAAGCATGCTTGAAGCCCTGGACCCTATCCCCAGTACCAAAACCAGAAAAAAAAAAAATTATAGTTTTAAAATGTGATCAGTTGCCCTGGTGACAGAACAAACAGCAGTAACTCTGTTCTAATTATAATATGATTTTTTAAATTTCTTTTATTTTTAAGATTAAGCATCCTCATTGACAATCCAGAGAGTCCTTGCTGACAGTTAAAAGTGATTCCTTAATTTTCAATGACAAGGTTAAAAGAAAGAACGTGTTCACAAGCTGCAGTTGAATTCGTATGTCCTCTTTTACAAAACTGTCTACCAAGTGACTACCAAGCCACTTACTAAACCAAGAGAAAAGACAATTTTCCAAAAAGCCAAGAAAACCCAGAAATAGGAATCTAAGTATCAAGCTAAAATTATCACCCAAAACACTGCTGTTTCAAAAAAAGAGTAAAAAGAAGCCAAATTCCCATAGCTCATTAGAAAAGACCTTTAAAAAGAACTCAGAAAGTTAGGACTAGACCCACAATGCTGTATATTTGTTCAAAAACCAAATAATTAAACTTGTTCAGTTTGGGAATATATTAGGCTTTCTCCTATTTCAACAAAGGAAATAAAAACATGTGCTGATGGAATTAACTTTAAAACTGTCCTTACCCTGTTGAAGACAGGGAGGGTACACAGAGAACATGAGGAACAAAGGGTAACAACAGTTTTGACTGGGGTCAGGGCTGCAATTCTTCTGAGCCAGTATCATGAAATTCTAGGTTTAGCTTAAAACCAATGAGCGAACTATATGCCACTCATAAATACCAACTGACACACAGCATTTGTGGTATTAAAAAATACTTCTAAAATTAATTTAAATTTCTATTCTGAAAAGCAATAGATCAAAATGACACTGGGCCATCCAGTTATAGAGCAAAAGGCTCCCTCCAAAGAGAATTAACTTAGCAGAAATTGAGGTTGGAAGGAATGTGAGTAACAAGTGAATGAGATCAGGCTCTCAATACCTGTTAATAAGGCTATTACTCTTTCCCCCACACCCACTGTGAGGATAGTACTGAGAGAATGCCAACAGAATGTCTCAGAGGGATGCTTCTTGGAGATTGGTCTGTAAGTTTAACTCTTGACCCTTCTCCTTATCTAAAGCTTGGAGAAGAAAATAAATACTTACTTTTTAATTATGCAGCGCTTTGGGCATATTATAATTTAATATCCTATAGTTTTCACTTTCTGAACCTTTGGCTTATTTTATCAATTTATGTTACATGAAAAAATGTATGAATGTGCCTTAATCAGTAGTACCAAATGAAAATATAAACCTTGTTCTTCCTTATCTTCTACACAGGAGGAATGAATGTATGGTACCCTAAACGTCCTGTAAGGTTACTTTGTGTACTTGACAGAAGATTAGGGCAAACCATTCCACTTCCATATCATGAGCAGAAGTTAGCTAGTCTTCAATCTCATCTTCCCAAATATCTCCATTAACGTCCACAGCATGGAATAACCTGGAAGCATAAAATAAGATACATATTCATACACTTGGAAAACTGAGCATAATCTGTTTTTCCTTCTCTTGAAAACACGTTCTGCATTCTACTGATAATATTTTTATCTTTTCTTCTCCTTTAATCATTCCATTGAAGGGGGCTGAAATCTGAGGCCCTCTTAAGCTGCCTTAAAGTATGTAAGAACAGTCCTTTTAGGATCCAGACAAATTGTGGACCAAGGATAAATAATATGGGTACCTCAAACTGATACTTAATGTATACAATCTGCGGAATAAACCAAGCTTCAAAAGCAGCATAGAAGAAGCTGAACTCTTTCAAGACACTAACTCTATTCTGTGCTAATCCTTTCAATTTCTGTCTTCACAGTCCTTGCATCTTCCATTGGGAGAATGTCTTACAGTTGCCAATTTGTCTTCCTTTCCTTATATTACCTAAAATTTAAGCAATTTCCAACATTAGGTTTCCAATAATTCACAGACAGGGCTTATTTCCTCAATATCTACTTTCAGAACAGTGATGAGTGTAGGTTCTCTATAGAAACCTATTAAGAGAAATCATCAAGGTATGCTAAAACAGGGGAGCTGCTGGAGAACAGAATATTCACATCACACCAAGGAATTGCCCTACTGATTAGTTACTAATAACAAAATGGTAAACTTACCTTCACAATAAGGTGAATGACAGAATACTAACAGAGGGACAGCCTGACATTATAAGACTCCTGATGTGATAAAATATATATACTTATCACCCCTCCTGAAGTATCCTTGTCAAAAATGTTACTCTAGCTAGGCACAGTGGCTCATGCCTGTAATCCAAACTACTCAGGAAGCAGAGATTGGGAGGATCTTGGTTAAAGGCCAGTCTGGAAAAAAAGTTATCTAGACCCCATCTTGACTCAAATGGTAGAGCACCTGTAGCAAGCATCAGGACCTGAGTTCAACTCCTGGTACCACCAAAAAACGGAAAAATCAGACCCCATCTAAATCATGAGCCATGCATGGTGGTATACGCCTGTGCTCCCAGCTGAAAAGAAGAAAGATCATGGCTGAGGCCAGTCCTAGGCAAAAATTCAGGACTCTACCTGAAAAATAAAGCAAAAAAAGAGCACCTGCCTAACAAGCATAAGGCCCCAAGTTCAAACCTTGGTACCACCACCACCAAAAAAAAAAGTTACTCTAAATCTAATAAAACTTCAGTCTAGACCTAACTTCCACTTGAGAACAAAAAGAGAAGACAAACAAGCTAGAAGACACCACAGAGGAACAAAACTCTAGAAGATAAAACTTCTTATAGAACAGCTTTCCTGGATTCTTCAAAAAAGTCTATGTTCTCCTAAACAAATAAGGTTGCCCAGAACAACCAGAACCAGTTACAGCAACTGGACTTGATCAGATCCTTGTTTAATAAAATGACTTTTACAGGAATTTTGAGGGATAACCACAGAAGTTTTAAATATGATGTTTACTAGATGATAGTATGTCATTATTATTAATTATTTAAAAGTACTGTTATTATGTAGAAGCATTTTCTTTTTAGGGGGCATGGGGCTGGGACTGAACCCAGGTCCTCCCACATGCTAAGCACACACTCCCCCACTGAGCTACACCTAGAATTATTTTCTTAGGAGACGTGTGGAAGTATTTAGAGTTGAAGTATTATCATAACTCCAACTTATCTTCAAGTATTTAACACAAAAGATAAAGAGAATAAATATAGCAAAGTATTATTATTTATTCATACTGTTTATAATTTTATCCTTTTGAATTTTCTGTATATTTGAAATTTTCCACTACAAAAAGTTGAGGAGGCCAGAAAAAGTGGCACATACCTATAAGCCCAGTACTTGGGAGGTTGAGGCAGAAGCAAGATCTTGAGTTCAAGGCCAGCTTGGGCTACACATAGCCAAAAAAAGCCAATAAGTAACATAAAAAATTTTAAGGGGTGGCAGAGTGGCTCAAGTGGTACAGCACCTGCCTAGCAAGCGTGAGGCTAAGTTCAAATCACAGTACCAAAAAAAGAAAAAAAAAATAGTGTATAGTCTCATTATAAAATTCGTTTTCATGAAAATACAAAAATTCATAGATGTGGAAAAACACAGAACTCTCTAAGTAAGTCTAAGTACTTTAGAAAAAACTGGGTTTTAATCCAAAAATCAAGTATCAAAAATTGTTACTGAGTTTAGGGAATTCTACATATACACACCTGTTAAAACATGGGGAATCTGGATCAGTGAAATGTTTGTAAGGGTTTGCCCTAGAGAGAGAACCCATGCAAATCCAGCAAAAATACTGCATACAGCCAGTACACGTCATCTTGTTGCATCCATCTAATTTCTGGTGGAAAGGACAGAAAAGAGAAAAATATCAAGGCTGTAAAAGAAAGAGAAATGCACATGCCAAAAAGATTCAAAATAGCATTCTCCTAGTCTTCTCCCTTTCCTCATGCAAGATGGAGACATACCAGCAACACATTGGCAACGATTTAATGCTTATTACTTTGCATTACAATTAAAATAAGAAAATATTTAGCAGGTGTTCCTATAACTAGACACTTAGAAAAGCCTCTTCTGATAAACAGATACAAATCAAGCACATGGCTAAATCACGTACTTTAGATTAATATTAAAATGTTTGCATTTTAAAATTTTATATAAGTCTACATAAATATTTGGTATCAAGGCCTTCATTTTATTGCAGGGCTAAGGCAGTGGCCAAATACAATGCAGTCTCCTTAACAGAGTAACTGAGGCATCACCTCCAGGTTCAGTTCAAATATAACACACTGGAAAAGTAGAATCAAATGCAAGGACATATTCTGAAAATATGTTAAGGTTTTAGCAAGAAGAAATAGACTTGTTTAATTATTTGGCTCAGAAAATGGAAAAATGTCTCCACTTCCTGAGTGTATACTCATTAAGAGATGTATTTCTTTTCAGATAAATAGTTCTAAGAGGTCAGATATGATTTTTGTTATCACACACAGGAATTAAGAGTTGATTGTAGCTCAAGTGTGCTCTCCCCTAACCTGCTATGGTTTGAATATAGTTTGTCTCCTCAGAAACTTATGTGGGAGTTTAATCTTCATTGTGAGGTATTAAGAAGGTAGAAACTAATTCAACTATGGTGTTTAGAAACTAATTCAACTATGGTGGGACCTTTGGGAGGAGATTAGAATTGGAGAAAGTCATCAGAGTACAGCCCCTACAGTTAGATGCTAATGACCTTATAAGAAGAGAGTCAGAGACAGAACAGAGGAGATGCACATACACACTCCTTGTGTCTATGTGATGCTCTGCACTGCCTCAGGACTGCCGGCAAGAAGGCCATCAGTAAATGTGGCCCCTCAATCTTGGACCAGAGCCATGGACTGAAATAACACATAATCTACTCAATTCTAAAATGGCTATGATGTGAAAACGATTGTCTCTGTACAAAAAAACTTTGAAAAGTCTATATATATGTAAGGTCAACAACATTTAGTAGTGAAATTTGTATTTTCCAAGTCCCAAAATAAATAGTACCATATAAATACCAAAATGTGTTTTCTTAAAAAGTCCTAAAATTTACTAGTAGGCCTCTTAAGGTAATCATGACATGCATTCAAATCTCTTTGCCAAGTCTGTTCCAAAACATTCACCTCTATGGGAGTCCCACAACAGGGGCAGCTCTTTGAATTCTTTTCCAGCCACTCCTTACTTTCCATCTCTTCCAGAGCCTTCTGAATCACCCTCTTACCATACCTCTGTTCCAAAAATCTTTTATTGGCTTCATCTGCTTGCAGATACTCATTTCGTAAGTCAATTAATTTTTCTAGGAAGTGAAAACAAAAATTAACTCTGTAGCTTTGCGATGGCTGACTAAAAGTCTTTAAAAACAGCCATACTCTTTTACCACTCAATAATGCTATTCCTGGGACTTTAGCAGAAGGAAATAACTTTAAAGTCATCTGCATGGAGATGCATTTAACAATGACAAATAAATTAAATTTCCAAGGAAATAATTATGTGTGGAAAATCGACTTAATGACATGCTATTTAGTTATTAGAAACTTAAATTAGGATGGATACCATCAAAACACTTACCATGGGATTCAGGAAAAAAGTACACAAATGACAAAGAAGGGAAAGGAATTCCCCAATCAGAAAAGTTGGACTTGCTAAAGGTAGTAGAAGGTTCTTTTCTTTGATTTTGATTTTTTAATGTTGATATGCTTATGCAATTGGCAGCAAACTGTTAAAGACTGGTCTAAAAGACACAAAGGGGCTAGGACTGTAGCTCAGTGATCGAGCACCTGCCTAGCATGCACAAGACCCTGGGTTCAATTCCTAGTATCACACATAAAAATAAACAAAATAAATAGACACAAAGGTTGAAAAGACTGATTTTCCACTAAGTCAGCATTATTCATCATTTGATAATGAATAAGGCTTACCAAATACACCCTCATCCTATATTACAGTTTGTTATAGGCACTAAAAAATTCTTCCCACTTTTCTCTTTGATACTCTTCATCTGGTTCCTATTGCTACCACTTTACTCAAATGGGACAGGCAACCATTTACTTCTGAAGCACCATGGTGAGGGAGATTCTGAAGCTTTGCTGGGCTCAGTGAGAAAGCATTTGATGACTGATCAGACTATGTGCCAAGGAAACAAGAGTTAGATGCCTCACATTTGTCATAAAGGATCTAAACTATTCTGTGTTCGTATGTAGAAATTAATTTGCCATTCCTGGAATGCTGCCCACCTCCTGTTCTGATTGGTTTTCCTTATTTCCCTCAAGTCTTTAAACCATTCTGCCAGTAAGACCTCTCCCAGTTTGCCTAACTAAAGTCCCAAGTCCTCTCCCTCTCAGTATTTCACATCTTGCCTCTATTTTATTTATTTTCCTCCTTAGCATTTACCATCACCTAATATCTGTATTTCTTTTATTTGCCTGCCATCCCCACTAGACTGTAAGTTCCACAGGGCAGAGATTTTATCTCTCCTGTTCAATGCTATATTCCCAGAGACCAGTATAGTAGCTAACACAAAAATATCTGTTGAATAAATACTTCTAAATTTATGAACTGAAGTAATAGGGATTTGGTGAGGGAGGGCTAATAGATATGGTTTGAGTTTACACAATTACAACGTACCTGCAGTCACCTTACATGGAGAGACCCCATGGTAAGTCAATCTGCACAAGGTACAGAAAGCAAAATTGCAGCTGGAGCAGATGCCCATGGTACAACCAGGCTCCTGCATCACAGGCAGCTGGCAGCATGGGCGGGGACAGTATACCACATCTGCCATCAGGTCCAAGGTAGACTGGAGGAGAAGGCGGTCATATCGAGCAAATAACTCTGCTTCCACTAGCTCTTTGACCTGGAAGGAATTACAAACACCATAGATCTAATGATTCACAGCCAGTTCTAATCCTGAAGGAATTCTTAGGATGCTATTGTAAAACAGATGGGCACAAAATTAAAAAATCTGTCTCACTTCAGAATCAAACCAAGTATGGTGACAGTCTGTATCTTGACTGAGGTGTGGTTGCATGAGTCTATATACGTGTCAAAACTAAGCAAACTAGGGCTGGCAGAGCGGCTCAAGTGGTAGAGGGTCTATCTAGCAAGCAGGAGGCCCTGAGTTCAAACCCCAGTACTGCCACACATACACACAAAATCAAACTATAATTTAAATTGGTTAGTTTATGGTAAGTAAAATTATGTCTTAATAAAGCTGACTTAAAAAACAAGTAGGCTGTAGTTATGCTAACATCTGTAAATGATTCAGTTAATCATTTTAAGAGATGTCCCCTTCAAATGCCATCCTTACACCAAGAAAAGCTAATTATTCCCCAAGGCTGATGGGATCCTAACAGATAAACAAAATAAATCATCAGAATTACTTTTTAAAAACACTCCTCCTTGTCTAGAACTGCTCAAAGTTAGCAAAGGAAAAATTTACATTTGCTTAAATGGTTTAGGATAAGACCACAGCTTTTTTTTGGGTGGGGGAGGAGGGTATAAGGGGGAGTACTGGCATTTGAACTCAGGCCTTGTGCTTCCTAGGCAGGTTCTCTATCACTTGAGCTACATCTCCAGCCTAAAACTGTAGCATTCTTAATGGATACAGTAAAACAACTTATAGTCTGACTCCAGTGCCTTAGATCGCTCCATGAGCCCTATGTAGAGGTGTGATAGTGTAACACTTGCCCAGCATGTGAAGCCCTGGGTTTGATCCTTAGTGCTGCAATAAATAAGTATTTAAAAATTCCTGTGGTGGGCAGAATAGTACATGCCTGCAATCCCAGCACTTGGGAAGCAGAGCTAGAAGAATCAGAAATTCAAGTTCAGTGTGGGCTCCAAAGTGGGACACTGTCCCCCCAAAAAAGAAGTTCCTGGGAATATGCCTCCTTTTGTGAAAGAGAATTAGGAGGCAATGATGAACAGAGAAAAATTACCTGACCAGGAGTGGCCACAGAAGAACACTTTGGTTCTGGGCAGTTGAGGCATTGAACTTGACCATCTTTGATCTGGATTTCAAAGTAGTCCTTCAGACAGGCTTTGCAATACACATGCCTGCACTCCAAGAAGTACATGCATTCACTACCCAGTTTCTCACAGAAACAGATATTGCACAGGAACAATTTACTATTAAAGCATTTCATCTGCTGAGCTTGATCAAAGTCCAAGATTTCTTGGATCAGACTTGACAATGATTCCACATCCTGCACAGCTCTCTCATCCACAATGTCCTCTTGATCTACATCAGATCCAGCAGCTCCTCCAAAATCCAGCTCTGTGTTGGAAGAGGCTTGAGTGGTCCTTCTCTGCACTTTTTTCTGAGAATCCATCTTGAGCTCAAAAGGAGACACAATATTTAGGTATGCTAGGGTCTCTTCCTTAAGAAACTGCATCCAAGCAAACAGGACCACACTGCCTCGGTGTTCTTCCCATAGGTTGTCTAAGTGCTTGCAGAGAGCAGAGAGCTAGGAGAAAGCACATGAGGATGCTGTGAGTTTGGGAAGATGATGATGCTACCAATTCCTGATCTTCCTCAGAGTCTTTTTAACTTGTAAGTTAGTCCCTTATATTTTCTAATGCTATTTTTTCTACTGTGATAAACTGTGCTATGAAAAAGTATCAACATTCCATCAAAGCATTTCTTAAGCTATTCAGCAACAGAGCAACATATTCAGCCAGAGTAGAATATGAGGTTAGAAGCTATAAGTACCATGAAAACAGGAAAATGTTAAAACTCCGTAAAGATGCAGACCTAGACTTACATTTAAGCTGATTTCAAGAAGACTTTGTTGTTTCTTCTTTTAGTATTGTTCTCTATTTCATGAATGAGAGAAAGATCTAGTTCTACAATGAACTACTTCATTTTCCTTTGGGAGTCCTAGCTCTGTATTTGCCCTGGATTGATGGTTAGAAAAAGGAGAGCTTAAAAATACCATCTGGAGCTGGGGATGTAGCTAAGTGGTAGGTAGAGTGCTTGCTTTCCATGCAAAAGGCCTTAGGGTTCCATTCCTAGCACTTTGAGAAAAAACAAACAAATCCAAGAAAGGACAGTCTTTCCAAATATTCACATGTAGAAGAATGAAACTAGACCCCTATCTTTCATCATTTACAAAAATCAACTCAAAATGGATTAAAAGCTTAAATGTAACCTGAAATTATGAAACAACTGTAAGAAAACACAAGAGAAATGCTTGGACAATGGAATGGGCACAGATTTTTTTGGACCCCATTCCAAAGGCATAGGAAACAGGAAGCAAAAACAGACAAATGGAATTATATCAAACTAAAAAGCTTCTACACTGCAAAGGAAACAACCAAGTGCAGAGAGAGACGACCTACAAAATGGGAGAAAATACTTGCAATGTACACATCTGTCAAGGGGTTAATATCTAGAATACATAAGGAACTCCAAAGACTCAGTAGCAAAAAAAACCCCAAATAATCTGATTTTATAATGGGTAATAAGGGACTGGGGAGTGTATCTCAGCAGGAATGTTTACCTAGCATGTGAGAGACCCTAGGTTCAATGCCCAGCACCCATACCCCTCAAAACAAAGGGGAAACAGACCTAACAGATATTTCTCAGCAGAAGATTTACATATGGCCAACAAGGCACAGGCGAAAATGCTCAACATCACTAATCAGAAAAATGTAAAATTAAAGCCACAATAAGGTATCACCTCATTTCAGTAAGAATGGTTATAATCAAAAAGACAAGTGCTGGCAATGATGTACAGAAAAAGAACATTTGTACATTGCTGGTGGGAATATAAATTGGTATAGCCACTATGGAAAACAATATGGAGGTTCCTCAAAAAATTAAGAACAATTACAATATGACCTAGCTATCCTACCTACTATAGATATATTTGGTATATATCCAAAGAAAATGACATCAGTATGTCAAGGAAACATCATTCCTCCTGTGTTTATTACAGCAGTATTTATTATTGTCAAGAAATGCAAAAAACCTAAATTTCCATAAACAAGTGAATGGATAATGTGATACACATAAAAAATGATGAAATCTAGTCCTTTTCAACAAATGAATGGAACCAGAAATCATTATGTTAAGTGAAAAATGCCAGGTACAGAAAGACAAGTATCACATGACCTTGCTCATATGTGGAATATAAAAAAGTTAACTCAGGGACAGGTGCATGGCTCAAGGGGTACAGCACCTGCCTAGCAAGCACAAGGCTCTAAGCTCAAACTCTCATACCACAAAAATAAATAAATAAATAAAAGAATTCAGGATTAGGTTTGGTGGCACACTCCTCTAATTCCAGGTATGTGGGTATGGGAGAAACAGAGACAGAACTACAATCTGAGGCATGTCCTAGGCAAAAAGATGAGAACCTATCTGGAAAATAAACTAAAGCAAAAAGGACTAGAGGTGTGGCTTAAATGGCACAGCATTTCCTACAAGCACAAGTTCAAACCTGAGTTCAAACCCCAGTACCACCAAAAATAATAATAAACTAAAAGTTAATCTCCCAGAAGCTGAGAGTAAAATGGTGGTTACCAGAAGCTGGGGGAGTAGCAGGGAGAGAGGGATAGGAAAAGGTTGATCAGTGGGTACTAAGTTATAGTCAGATAGGAGTGAGAAGTTCTGGTGTGCTATTACAGTATAAAAACAACTATATACTGTATATTTCAAAAAACTAGAAGGAAAAAAAGAAACCTGAAAAAAAAAAAAAAAAGAATTTTGAATACTTTCACCATAAAAAAAATGACAAAATGTTTGACTAAGTCGGCATGTTTTTTCTGACTGAAAAGCATTAGTTGTCCAATCTTAAATATTATACAATGTACACATGTATCAAAACGTCACACACCCCATAAATATGTAAATGTTTATGCATGAAATACAAATAAATTTAAACAAAAAATAAAATACCACCAAGTTTTAAAGTTAATTTTAACTTTCTGTTCTATCAAACAGCCAACTCAGCTAAGTGGCAGAATTTAACCTCAGAGCCCTTATTTTTGAGATTTACAAGCTACTTTTTATTAGAGAGTCTTGGCTTACATCAGATCCTGATTAACAGACTGAAGCAGAATGATACTGAGCCTGGACATAAGTGCAAGCCCTCACGGTTTGGCTGCCACAGAGAAAGCTTACAATTTCTAAACTAAGCAAGCAAAGTTAATTATGATGATTCTTTCTTTTGAAAGTGGTCTGTTTCATCTGAAAGGCAAATATAAGAGGATTTTCTATTAGAAATGTAAAATACTTGCAAGTAGAGCTTAGGAATTATAAGCTTCTTTTCTTTTTTTAGGTAAACAACCAAAAATAAGCCTTCCAGATGGCAAATTTTGTTAATTTAAATAACAAATGAAAAAAGACCACATTTTCTTTGTTCTGTGTAATACTGATTAAACCTTGCACAGCTACTAACTTAAATACTTATTGACAAGATTGACAACTAATGCTTTTTTCACTTTAATTCGTAAATGCATTAATGCTTATAATATCAATCATGCTTTTGAGAAACCTGCTAACATCTGTAAATGTGATAAATACTTAAAAGGGAAGCTTTGCCTATTGTATAAGCCACCAAATCCAATGAAGAAGCCATTCTCTTCCAACCTCTTTTCTCCAGTCCCTTCTAAAAAGGGGCAGCAGAGATGCATGTAAATGTAAAAAGGGGAGGGGAAGACAGAGGAAAGGGCAAGATAGCTATAGTGTATGTAGGGAAGGAATACAGAAAACACTAGAAAACTAAACCCACTTCCCAGATCCTATTACCCACCCCAATTCAGTGAATGACAGATTCTGTGTCAATTTCACTATCAACAGGTGAAATTTACAATGCCATAGAATCAGGATACAGCAACAAACAAGAACTGAACCAAGGAGAAACAAAAGAGACCAATTAAAATGTTAATTATAAACTGGGTGCAGTGGCTCATACCTGTAATCTTAACTATTCAGGTGGTAGAGAATGGGAGAATCTTGGAACCAGGCTAGGCATGGTGGTGCGTGCCTATCATCCCAGCTAGGTGGGAAGTATAAATATGAGGACTGAGGTCCAGGCCTGAGTAGGCATAAACTTGAGACCCTAGCTCAAAAATAACCAAAGCAAAAATGACTGGGAGCATGACTAAGTGGTAGAGCACCTGCCTAGCAAGGGCAAGGCCCTGAGTTCAACTCCCAGTACCACAAAAAAAAAAAAAAAAAAAAAAGTCAAGTATATATGCATAAGAATATGAAAGAATCCTACTGTAAATTCAGCTGTAAAACAAAATAATGAACCCTCCTTCCCTGCGCTCCCCAAAGAGCAGGATTAAGTAGATGCTAGAAACTATAACCACACATCCAGTGACTCTGTCTGTTTTGTGCATGTGTGTGCATGCATACATGCACAGTACAAAATATCAAGACTCCATGGACAAATGGAGCTATAAATATTTAAATATTTAGTCAACAATGAGTGATCTAAATGTAAAACACTCTTGATTTTCCTGGGCAAATAATCAGCTGCCTTGCATCTATTGTCTCTGTCACAGATACTACCATAAAAAGAACAACATTCCTCTCTATTCTACATGTATTACACTCTTCCAGAATTTAATTTCCTTTTTAAACCATAATCTTAATTTTACATAAAGCACTTTTATCTAAAAGATTAGCTACTGGGTAGAAGAATAAAAACTATATGATTAAGCCAGGTGTGGTGGGGAATGCCTATATGTATTACTTGTAATCCCAGCATTTAGAAGGCTAAGACAAGGGAATCATGAGTTCAAGGGCAGCTGGGCAACATAGCAAGACCCTGTCTCCAAAAATAAGTAATAAAAAATCAAACTATATAATTAAAAAGGAAAAATTAACAAGCTATTTCCTTAAGTCAATAACTCTGACAGCTTATCTTAATACATATCAGTTTGTCAATCTTATAATGACTTGTAGAAAAGTAGCTATTGATCCACTACATCCTAGATTACTTTACACTAGCTTCAAGTCATATTTATGTCTCAATCAAGAGTTGAGGCTGAGACAGGCACTTGAAAGCCCAAACATAAATAAGGAGATGGAAATGCTAATTACTCTGATTTTATCAGAATACACTATATACATTTACTGAATGTCTATACAATTAAACATGTATGATTTATCATGTGCAATTATTACATGTTAAGAAAAAAGAGTTGAAGTTGTTACTAGAAAAGGATATATAATCCAGAGAGAATAAAGGCTCTCAATATAAGGTGTCAAAACTTAATGTGGTATCTATAAGAAATGTAGATTTCTATGAAGAAAAGCACTTATCACATTTACTCAGGATATATGCTTATTATAGCTATATTGGGTTAATTTTCAGTTCTAATTACAATGAAATCTTTAAAGAATGGATTAGAAACTAAGAAAAAAAAGCGTATCAATATCTAAGGATAACAAAGACCTCATAGTCTCCATTACAATGCAGATTAAATGGAAAATAGTACAACAAGAAATACACTTGATTAAAAATTACTACTGCAATTCATAATGATTAGTCATTTCAGTTACCGCCATTCCTTTTTAAAACACCAAGCATTTCAATTCATTAACATTAGGATTCATGAAGGCAAGGGAAATCAAAGTCATTTGTTCTTCATGCACCAAATTCAAGATCACCAAGGTAGTCTTCAATTAAAGATGACTTTGTAAGCTTCTACAAATGGATAGGAAAAATTAAGTTTTTGGGTCTACCTGAGTTGGTGACAGCCATTTGCACTAAGTGTGAATGAAGGTGGGGAGGAGGATGGATAATCTGGTGGCAGTTCAAAGTTCAGCACAAGTGGAGGCAGAAAGCCAATGGTGTACTTCAAAGTCACTATTCTGGAGACACTCATTTGAATTGCCTGAACCAAAAACAAAGATCAGAAAGGATCAGTTGATCAACACTTGAGTGTCCATTACTGTTAAGCAGTGCTCAGGAAAGACTTAATGTTTTAGGGGAGGGGATAAAAACCCTCCCCCAAAGCACTTTCTACCACCTTAAAATAAAAATCTTGTAAGCCCTTGAAAAATCTACCAACCACCATG